AGCAAAAATCCCCATCTGCTACTGTGTATGCCGTGGACTGCCACCACCTGTTGGCTTCCTTTGGGGCAGGCCTAGTACACATATACTCCTGAAGCGGAACCATCTTCAAACGTTGAATTTGTCCATTTGTGTTAGTTTCTGATGACAGCTAGGACGTGAACGAGATTCTACTTCGTGCATACTGTGTAAGCGCGAAGCACCACACACACATAGACGGCTATTTGCATGCCTGGCACTCCTTCACGCAGCGCGCCTGCATTCCAAGTAGGGAAACCGTGATCTGTCTTCGTACTGAATGGTGGTCTCCATGTCTGTGAGCAAGTTGCGAACGGTAACCTCGCAAAGGGCTGTCCGACGAGCGTACACTTCACGAAAAAGACCGTGAACTACCGGTAGTCTTAGCTGCGCAATCCCCAGGTCACCCTGCCGCGTGGTAAAGGCAATCCGCAGTCCGGATGGAAAGAAGCAGAATACCGTCACCTCTGGCTTCCCAGCAGAAAACTCTAGAGGTTGCAGGAATATGCCCATATAGCTCCACACAGAAAGGCAGCCATCCACGCCTACCAAAACGAAGTACTCGCCTGCGACATGCATTCCCACAGATGGGGTGTTACCATGCTCGTACTCTTTTCTGCAGATAGGTGATTTCGGACCTAACCTACAGCTCTCCTTAGCTGTTACTATTTACTAGTGTAATAAATCAGCCCATGGAGTGTGGCGTGACCCTCTGCCACACGTTTCGCTTGAGGTGCACCAAGCGTTTATTCCGAAACGTAAAAAGTACGTTGAAAGCCGTAACGACAGAGTGAATATTTTAATCCAGCACTACTGAAAGACATCGTAGACAATATAACCACGAAACGGTGAAGCCGGCCACGCTTCTACCTGGTTTAGCAGGCTGTCAGGGGAAAAACCAAGCTCGTGGTGCGCACCCTTTGGAGCAAATTCAACGTAAAGGGGGTCATACGCAAGTTGTGTGGACCTTATTGCAATTTCCTCATCAGCATCGAAAAGCCAAATTCTCGGACCGAAAGTGCACGCCACAAGAATGCTGCCCTGATTTGCTGCCTTCCCAGAATCGCTTGGTCGCCAAGCCAAAGTCCAGACGGGAGCGTCCAACTGATGACTCCATAACTCCGAACCTTCGCTGTCATGAACCACCAGTAGGCCGTTGTATTGACCTACGGCGCAACGCCGATGTCTAGTGTCTAGCAGCACATTGTGGGTACACTGCGGGACGATTAACAACTGCAAGCCAATAATGGGCAATAGCTTCTCAGTAAAGACGCAGCTGCACTTTTAGCCTGTTCAACGTATCACGCTACCCACTCCTGACCTGCAGCAAGACGTTTGCCCTCGTCATTCCATGACAGACTGCAAATACGGGAACTGGCTTTGATTCGGTCGCACCGTTGAAGGCCACGGGAACTTTGGCTGGGTTTGAGGTCACTGTTGCCGCCGGCCCAGCCCAGACTGACGGCAATAGCGTTGCTGAGACTACTGGAAGCGCTACCCAAATGCCTGCTGGTGCTGCGATTGCTATGACTCATCCCCCAAGATTTAGAGCCAAGGAAGCTTGACCTGTTCCCCAGTTGACTAGCCTCCCCTTCATGTAGTCCGCTGGAGCCATCGTCATGCCACAAGCTAAGTTCTTCTGTAGTGCCACTGGCGAGCACTAGCGTTCGAGGGTTAAATGCGAGGGCCTGCACGCTTCCTGAGTGCGTGAATTGCCTTAAGATGTCCCCCGTTGAAGACCACACTATTACATGCCTATCAGCTCCTCCTAAATATGCATAGTTAGTCAAGGGAAAGAACAGCACACTGCAGTTGAAGTATTAACTGACAGCAACGTTCTACCTGACGGCACAGGGAAGGCCACCTCCATGTAGTTTGAGAGTTGTTTCGTGGTTCCACATGGGACTTATTACTGTGCACTGCAGGCCGGCCATCCAAAAGTTGGTGTGGCTGTCCTAACCTGAAGCAAATTGTTTCCCACTTGAGGCGTATGCGATCGCGTTCACGTTGCCCTTATGGCCAGCAAGTGTCTGCAGCGTTTCACCCGACTCAGCGTCGACAAGAAGTACACAAAATCCCACCCCTAGCACAAGACGAGAGCCGTCAGGGCTGCACGCGACACTCCAGAGCGTAATGCCCGCATCTTCTCCCCTAGCGGCCTGTTGCCGCCATATAAGACTTCCCTCCATCAGTCCTTCCCGCGCTTCGGTTGTACCCACGGAAATGTGATCGCCCGGAGGAAGCTCTCTCTTTGCAGGAGCGTCGCGCAGGAAAATGGTCACTACCTAAGAGTGACCGCTTCTGAGTATGCACGGCAGCCTGCTCCCAGTAGTCTGCTGGCGTGCACGAACCGGCACTTCAACAGAGCTACAGAACGATAGTGCATGACACCTAGCAGCACTTCGTATTGGAATTGATCCCTAAACTGTCGATCAGAACTGTTCCTTTCAGAAGGACTCTCCTGGAGTTAACGGCAAAATACGCTCGAGTTGCACCTCAGCCAGTACCGCATTCCGTATCTCGGCTAGCGACTGTGGCACATTCTGCTGCCTAAATTAATACTAACCCACTGGATGAGGAGTTTGTGTGGGATAATTCGTGCGCCACTAGTATGCTAAAATAGAAATAGTCCAAATGCCCGACCGCCAGCAATAATATCCCCAGTACGGAGGGAACGCTGCCTTCCGAATTCATCAGGCTTCCCTTTGCACGGGGAAGGACAAAAACAATGTGGTATGCATATTATTTTGATGATGTCGATGTTGTTCAACTCTTGTGAACGCCCTACGCCACTAGTATGTACTGCTTATTTCCTATGCACCCTAGTCTGAGTGGTTGGAGGCACCAGTTGGATGAAAGCTGTACCAACTGTGAATAACATGCTCGAGCGCGTAGGCCCATATAAAGGCATGAGCCGCATTGCTCGCTCGAGCTGCCAGGAGATATTTGGGAAGGTCCCTTGCTATCCAAGGCGTCGCAAATATGGCCTTATGTGCGGTTTCAGGAATGGATCAGCAACACCACAAGGCGGACAAAAAAAGAGCTGTTATAGGCGATTTCATTGCTCTTTTTCCTCACATCGCTGAATGGGAATGTTTTCAAATCATATGTTGAATACTGTCTCTGACTCATGACGGGCTACTCAGCAGTGCAAGTCGCCGCGCGCTGCATGTAGCACGTGCGGGGCTGACATCTGGTCGAACTGACTTACACGAGGTCAACTAACTTATTTGTGTAGTATTACCTAGAGTAGCAACAGGAAAAGCAAGAGAAGTGACAGCCTGGGGAAACCACCGGGTTCAGATTTGCTTCCTGCTGTAACTCAGCACAACTGCCTCAGCTGTCAGGCAATATTTCGTTCTGCGTGCCTTCACCAGCTTCTTGGTACATATCGAAATATCTGCACTTGTAGCTTGTCTAGTAGAGCACCCTGGCTGCGTGTCTGAGGGCGTTGCAGTCCAGTGCGTCCTAGCCGGGCCGAAGCGCTTGCCTGGGCTTCAGTTGGAGATTGGACACCTTCATCCCCCCTGGCACTGCATTGCTGTATTGCAGTCCACGGTATGAGAAACACTACAGTGGGATGTAGGAAGTTCCCACTCAGCTCACCCCCCCCC